ACCCACAGACACAGGAGAACATGCAGAACCACCCAGAAAGGTCCTGGTTCCCCCGGGACTCCAACCCAGAACCCTCTGGTCCTGGTTCCCTTTAGGACTCCAACCCAGAACCCTCTGGTCCTGGTTCCCCCGGGACTCCAACCCAGAACCCTCTGGTCCTGGTTCCCCCGGGACTAGAACCCAGAACCCTCTGGTCCTGGTTCCCCCGGGACTCCAACCCAGAACCCAGAACCCTCTGGTCCTGGTTCCAACCCAGACCCTTTTTGCTGTGACTCTATGATGCTAAACAGGCGCGAGGCACCCGGAACCTCATAAATCTGTCTCCAATCATGAGTGAGACTCACCACAAAGGCGCAGAAAGGCGGAAGGAGCCACGATCTGGAACCCAGGGGGGGTCCGGAACCCAGGGGGGGTCCGGAGCCCAGGGGGGGTCTGGAGCCCAGGGGGGGTCTGGAGCCCAGGGGGGGTCTGGAACCCAAGGGGGGTCCGGAACCCAGGGGGGGTCCGGGGCTCATCGTGGATCTGTTTCTGGATCCGGATCCTTTACGCGTTGAATGCCGGACACTTGAAGCGTTTCCAGGAAAAGTTACTGCCAAAACATGGCTGCGCATGCGCCGCTGATTGGCTCCTCCTCCTCTTCCTCCTCCTCCTCTTCCTCCGTTCATTCATTACTTTGACAGGTTTGTCAACACCGGGAATGAACGAGTTGGATAAAGGAACAAAGCCCTCAAACTGATAATTACAGACCGATAAACGCGCCTCACTTTTCAGGGTTTAACCGCTAACACGAGTTTTTTTTTATTTGTTTTTACTGAACTTTTTTGCGAAGCAGGAAAACATCAAATATTAAAAATTCTACATACATATGAGAGGGATGTACACATATAAGAATAATAATAATAAAAAATAAAATAATAATAATAATAATAATAATAATAATAATAATAATAATAATAATAATAATAATAATAATAATAATAAATAAGAATAAGAATAAGAAAGAAAGAAAAAAAAAGATAAATAAATAAAATAAAATACTAAAAAATAAATAACGGGTGCCCAAAAGCAGAAAAAAATAAAAATAAGACTACAAATTGTCCTCTTGTTGCCAGGCAAAGTAAATTAAACCCAGTCTCACTCTCTGAGCTGCAGACGCATCCAAATAGTCCAAAAAAGGGTCCCATGTCCAGTGAAAAAGAAATGGTTTGTCTTTCAACGCCGTAGAGAAGGCCTCCATTGGAATAATACTTACTGTATTATAGTCCAGGCTTATGGATGGAACTCTTTCAGAAATCCACGACACCATAATACACTTTCGAGCGCGGTGTAACAATATATGTAAAATATCCCTGCTAACACGCGTTTAAAGGCTATTTCAGCTCGTGGTAAATCAGAATATCCATGAGGACAGATTGTTAAACAGCTTCCTGGGCAGAAAAGATTATTAGGAGCTGATAAATAAGCCTTAGAATTAAAGAAATATCCCTTTCTTTTGCTTAAACGACACGAAAAATGCTGATAAACAAAAATTAAGTTCCAAGTCATTTTTTTTGGCTTTTTGATATTTGAATGAGTATTTTCTGCAAATTTC